CGTGGCTGGCGCCTTAGCCGGTTGAGCTGTAGGCGCCGAGCCGGTTTCATTATTCTTAATGGTAAGTTGAGGAAACTGAGGCCCACAGACGTTGCTCACCTACTAAGTTCCCAGGTGATGATTGGGACCCTGTGATTCCGAAACCCACACCCTTCTTGCCACACCTCAAACCTGCCCCTCAGAACCCTGAGAGCTGAGCCTCTTTTCAGAAAATGCACCAGTGATGTTAATCTTTTTTTTTTTTTGCCCGGGGCTGGGTTTGAACCCCCCCACCTCTGGCATATGGGGTTGGCGCCCTACTCCTTTGAGCCACAGGCGCCACCTTTTTAGAGACAGAGTCTCACTTTGTCGCCCTCAGTAAAGTGCCATGGCGTCAGTTCACAGCAACCTTCAACTCCTGGGCTTAGGCAATTCTCCTGCCTCAGCCTCCCGAGTATCTAGGACTACACAGGCACCCACCACAACGCCTGGCTATTTTTGTTGCAGTTTGTCCGGGGCCGGGTTTGAACCCGCCCCCCCCCTTGGTATATGGGGCCAGCGCCCTACTCACTGAGCCACAGGTGCCGCTCCAGTGATGTTAATCTTAAGCTGCAGGCAACCTTCCTGGACCACAGGCATCCCCACTGCAAAGTGAGGCAGATGAGTCTGTGCAGACATGCACCACACGTGTATTCTGTGGACCTGCCTGATGAACATGCGCCATGACAACATGCTACGAACATGCTCCATGGACACCCACCATAGACAGGCACTGTGGACACGCATCACTGGCACATGCTCTGTGACGGTGCATCGTGGACCTGCGTTAGAGACATGCTCCACGGATATCCTCCATGGATGTGCACTGCGATCCTGCCAAGCCACCAGCATTTTTTTACATCTCCATTGTTACATACAGCGTTTATTTCAGTGCATATGAGAAATAATCGTATATGCAGTGGCACCTGTAGCTCAGCGGCTTAAGCATCAGCCACATACGCCAGGGCTGGCAGGTTCGAACCTGGCCCAGTCCTGCCAATCAATGATAACTACAACAACAACAAAAACAACAAAATAGCCAGGCCTTGTGGTGGGCGTCTGTACTTGGGAGGCTGAGGCAAGAGAATCGCTTAAGCCCAGGCGTAGGAGGTTGCTGTGAGCTGTGATGCCACAGCACTCTACTGAGAGTGACATAGTGAGACTCCGTCTCAAAAAAAAAATTAAAAATAAAATAAAAAAGAAATATGCATATGTGGCTGGGCATGGTGGCTCACACCTGTCTTCGCAGTGAGACAGGATTGCTTGAGGCCAGAGTTCAAGACCAGCCTGGGCAACACAAACAGACCCCTGTCTCTACGAAAAATTTAAAAAGAAGGAATATGTGTATGTATTTAAAACTAACAATCAAATCCTTGTTTCTAATAATGATAGTAGAGCTTCCTTTATTTTTATTTATTTTTTTTGCAGTTTTTGGCCAGGGCTGGGTTTTTTTTTTTTTTTTTTTTGAGACAGAGCCCCCTTTT